AGTTTTATATAGTTTGATGGTTTTTGCAATTGTATTAGAAGAAGCTATCCTTCAGATGTTTCAGACTGACTGACCTTCATGTGTTAATGATGAACGGTCACATTTCCTTGCTTAGTTGAATGGTTCTTGCCACAAAATAGGTTACTATAGTAGTTTAATATGGCTATTTGGTGTATACCATTATTTCAAAGCACACAAGTTAAATGAAAACCTTTCCAGGTGATTTACTCATTAGTTTGAGTTGGTCCTATCATTATTCCAGAAACTGAATACAGACAGAACACAGACCTATAATAATCCTTGCAATTGCATTATCACCAGATCTTAAAAGGAGGGTTGAAATCAATATGCCCACTTAAAATGTACATTTGTCCTTGTCACCTATTGGTGATGCTGCCTCAGATTTGAAAAAGACAGGGAGTGAATGAGATAAGAGAGAGACAAAGTGGAGGTAACACAGGTAGAGAGACACCATTGTAGTCTGTGAGATGAAAGCTGACAGGAAAGAAAGTGAAACAGAAAACTAAGAGGAGCAACACAAGAGTGAGGTTAGAGTGTTTTATATAGGTCAGTCAACAGTGAGGGTCATTCATCCATCAAGCCCCTATCAGAAGTGCAAGAGCTGCAGCTTTTTTAAATTAGCAGTTAAATAGGCAGTTAGACACATATAGAACATTTCTGATTATCTGTCAAATTTCTCAGCAACAGAGCTTCATGCTGCTAAATAAAGATGCTTCATGTGACTGGCCACAACACACACATATGAAAATGTATCAGCAGTGACCAGGCTTCAGTGTTTAAAAAAATCCATCAACACAGCATCAGTAATTGATTAATATGGAAGCCAGATATGCATCTTTGTGGCACAAGAGACTCCTGCAGTGTCAAGCTTTAACATAACCCCAGCGCCTACTGCCTCTGCCTGCCTTAATCCACAATTTTGTCGTTGTGCATGTGTTTGTATGAGATGTTCACCTCCTGCACGTTTGGCCAAGAATGCATGTTACGTCAGATAGTACGTGCGTGTCTGCATATTTGTCACACATCACAGATATTTGGGTTACTTTTTATGTACAGTATGTGTGTATTTTACTTGTGTGCTTGCTCTTTTTTGCTTGTTTGTTAGTTTGTTTTCATACACCATATTTGTGTGTAAAATCTTCCTGTGTTTGTCCTTGCATTCATGCAGGAGTCACAGTATTTTGCACTTTGCTGTCATAACAGGCATAAGACTGTGTGTGTGTGTGTGTGTCTGTGTGTGTGAGTAAGTGTTTGGAGAGGCTCAGGGGAGATGCAGTCAGGTAGTGTCTCAGCTACAATACAACAAAAACAGCTGGCAGAGAAATAGACCATTTGCCTGGAATCTTTTCAACTGATACTCTGTCAACAACTCTGAACTATCTTTACCAGGAGGGCTGGGTGAAGGGGTGTGTGTGTGTGTGTGTGTGTGTGTGTGTGTGTGTGTGTGTGTGTGTGTGTGTGTGTGTGTCGCAACAAGGGAATAAAAGAAAACAAAAAGAGAGGAGGAGGCAGAAGGAGAGGCTTTGCCCAAGGAAAAGAAATATATTGTAGTGCTGTTCCAAATTGAATGAATCAGTATATACACTAGTATATTTAGTAGGTTCAATACAAATCGGGTTTACAGTAATATGTACTGACACTTGGAAATAGCCATATGTTGTCCGACACTGACAAAGGCTTTCACGGTGGTTCGACTCCCGGTCTCCCCGCATGCCTAAGTGTCCCTGAGCAAGACACTGAACCCCAAATTGCTCCCAGTGGTTCGACTGGCACCAGTGTGCGGCAGCCTCTCGTCATCGGTGTGTGAATGTGTGTGTGAATGAGTGAATGTGTATGATCTCCTGTAAAGTGCTTTGGCCAGTGTAACACACTGTGAAATATGCGCTATATAAATACAGTCCATTTACCATTTACATTCTCCTGTCTACTCACCGTTTATATGATGCCAATTTAAATAACAGCATTTCAACCATAAATAGTGGTAAAAACATACTTGAATACTGTATGACAAAGTTTAGCTTTAAGCAGTGAGCAGGAGACATATTTTACCCTTCGGCCTCACTGGTAGTTGTATGTGCTGTTACTGGGACTGAATAGAACCAGAGCTTGCTAGCAATTAGCCTTAGCTTGTTAGCTTTTTAGCCTGTGGTTATTGTTTCCCCAAGAGGAAACAATAATCACAGGTTGTATGTGCTTGCTACAGATGCTGTTAAACCCATATGTACACACAGTTTTTAAAATAATCAATGGATTTTTATAACATTATTTAGTCTGTTATATTATAAAATTAAATATGATCAGCTACATAACAAGAGCTATTAATGTGTTGTGAACTGCAGCTTATTCATTTGACAAAAGTATACAAATAAAAACCAACAACATAAGACAATAAACCATTCTATGTTGTTGTAATGGATGAGCTAAACAAAGCCTTTATCAGTGGGCAGATAAAAAAAAAGCTTTACCTTCACTTGAGAGTTGATACCAGACAGTCAGTACACATCTTTCCTGACCTGCAGTGGGCATATAGGCGCATGTACTGGTATACTGAAAAACTCAAAGGTTTGATTCATTCTGACACGTAACATATCGAGAAAAACTAAGAATCAAACTTGCCAGCACTAATATACTGTATGATACAAAGCACATAACATACAAAGCAACATAATGATACAAGACAATAAATAATATTAATAATATAATTCATCATTTATATCATTTATTCATTATTATACATTTTTTGACAGTCCACATTCAATTGCTTATTTTTTATTCTATCTTAGAATACAATTATATAATGGCCTTTAATATACTTTCTTTCAAGAATGAGATGAAGCTCAGTGTCAGTGTTAGGTATTAGGGTGTGCCATGCATAGCAAAATGCATGATAGTGGGAATAAAGTAAAGATACTTTTAAAGCAGACTTTTAACTATACTGTATTTTATAAACATAAAAATGTCATTTTGTGGTTTAAGCATAGGTTGCATGTTGGAGCTCTTTTTTGGCAAAAAACTGTATCTACCTGGCACTTCTGTGCAACAGCTTCTGTCTTAGCTAATATACAGCAAAACAGCCTCTAGAGAAATTGTGTGAATATGTCACTTTAATTAAAATCTCAAATTGTCATTTTCATATTTCTGTTTATTGTGTTAATACAATAAAATACAATACAATACAAACATTGTGTTTGTATTATGTTGTTTGCCATGTTATGTAAGTTCACACTTAACAGGTTCAAAGTTCTTTTGTCTAACAAAGGTCTTCTGCTGAAATGCAAAATAAGAACAAGGAGAGTTAGACCAAAAACAGTGCCAGATTCTAGTCCGTGTTTTGCTGATGGTTAAATGACTTGTCATAGTATTATTAATACAGCTGAACCTGTAATCATAATGAGCATCATGGCACTCCCAGCTGAAATAATGATGAGTGCAGAAATTCCTAGAAAGTTAGCAGGAAAGATGCCCCCACATGATCAAGCTTCACCACCATGCATTCTGTTCAGTCTGCAATAGTGATAGTGACATCAGCCATCAGGGATCTGCAAGTTAAGAACTGAACATCAAATGATTTTTTTTCAGAGCAATGTTTGTGTATTGGTAAGTGTTATGAAAAAGGCTAAATTCACCACCCTCCATGTTAAGGAAACTTCACATTCAATGAACAGTGCTCTTTATAGTCATGCAGAACACAACACAGGTTATTTGCCCAAATTGACTGTCGAACTGTTTGTGTAGTCTGTTTATTTGCTACAAAATATTGGTTGAACAGGCTTAAGCTGAAGCTATCCCGCAGGCTTCTCAGCACAGGTGGGTACAGTGTACCTGTATTGTGTTTGTGTGATAGCTCAGACTCATCATCTTAAAACAGTAGCTCCCTCTTCGCCTCAGCTTGTCTCCATTTCATCTGAATTATCATCATAAAGTCTTACTTCAAGTGAAAATATTAGTTGAAATGTTTTCAGTGTGGTGGGTGTGTCAAAGCTATTACTGTTGCCCCCACAGCAAGAATTAGTTTTCACTTGTGTTTTTACATTGTTATTTACCATGTGCAGTCTTGCTGTCTCTAAAATGTTTTCATATTCAGTTTGAAAAACTACGATTTTGAAATGTCTTTTTTCACTCTGGACAGTGCCTGAGCATACTGGTGCAGGTCTTTAGAGCTGAGAGGACACAGTTTACCATAAACATGCAGCTCTGTCCTTTATGTTAAAACATACAGAATGTTAACAGTTCATATCAGCCTCTTAGTTGCAATTCCAAATAAAAGATATTAGAAATTTCTAAGGGCTACAATATCCCCCATTTGGTGAAGTAAGAGCAGAAGTGTCAATAAATCTCTGACAAAATAGCTGCAAGCTAACACTGCTGGCACTTCTATCTAAATAAAACCCACTAAACAATAAAACTTGATTAAAGCAGTCAGCTAAAACTACCTGCACAATGTTTGTATGTATCTGGTTTTGCTTGTTAATGAGCCGAAAAAAGTACTAACACAACAAAAGTAGCTATTTTAAACCATGTAAATGGTGTGTGGTACGATAAGACAAGCAGTGGGGGTAACCATCTTCAGTCAATGCATGAACACTCCCAAGCTGGAGAAATGGGAGATTTGTCAGTTCTTCCTATTCTACCTATATAGAGTGAAAGAAAACTAACACAGACATGAGACTGATGTCAGTCTTTTTCATCTGAACCTAAAAAAGTGTGTTTGCCAGAGTTTATTTAAAAATTCTGAATAATTATACATTTCAAATATTGTATAACTGCTTTGGCAACATGGTAGTTAATTACAGTTCTGCCAATAAAGAAAATGTTATTCTGAGAGGAAAAAAACCTAAGGAATGACAGGAGAGTAAATCAGGGGAAGGAGAGAGAGGGGGAGGGAGAAAAAAGGAGGAGGACGGGATATATGAGAGAGGGAGGGACTTAGAGGGAAAAGAGAGAGAGAGCCTATATGATAAACAGAGGAGAGAGGAAAGGAGAGGGAAAAGGCAGATAAAGCATGCTTTCAGTTCAACAGGATGAACTAACAAGAGAGAGACAGAGAGAGAGCAGTCGCCAAAGATAGAGTTACGTGAAATGTTTGGACTTAATCTACTCAGCCACAGCTCAGAGGGACACTGAAACGCTTGTGTGAGGTAACTGCTCTGCTTTTCACTCCTAACACTGAATTTTGTGTGATACTTGCTGGCGTAATTCATGTATTGACAAATATCAAGGTGATTCCTGAAGTGTCATGGTAACGTGAGAGCTGGGACAGTAAGCTGAAGGGGGTTGGGGAGCTTCTTGGCTCTCTTAAATCAATTAAAGAAGTGACAGCTACAGTAGAGGAGCTGCAATCAGGACATGTTGCGCATTCTTAAACAGGAAAGCCTGTTCGCTCTGTGTGGAAGCACGTGCCTGTGGTTTAAACCTATTGATTTGTTTATGATTTTGTGATATGAAGCTTAATAACTGTTGTCTTTTTCCCCAGGAAGCTTAGTTTTCAGCAGGCTGTAGTGTTTTCCAGTGCAGATAGAAGACAGGAGAAGTTATAGATTGGTTGGTAAATACACAAAGGCTAAAGGATAAGGTCAGTCATTTTCTATATTATTAGCATTTTCAGCAATCCCCATACAGAGATTAAACCCAATAGTGAATTGCCTCTACTCATGGCCAATATCTGTCAACACTGTGAGAAATACAGGGGTCTCAGGGTTCTCAGACCTCTGACTGACAACTCAGACCCCTTGAAAATCTCAAAATGAAATTGCAGGGGGGTCTTAAACATGTATCAAATTATTTTCTATTTATCTATAGAATCTGATTTATTTGCATGCAACTTTATAAATGGTAAATTGTTTTTAAAATAATCAAATAAAAGTATAGGTCTATTGTATTCACTGTATTTATGGTATTATATCAAAAGTGATCCAGAAACTGTGGTTTGCAGGAGCCTGCAGGCTGTTAAAGACACACGCATCACCCACTTTATCTCTACCTACTGCTGCCCCCATCAGGATCCAACCTTCATAAAATAAAAAAAAACAAACAGATTAGTATAATTATCCTCTGGTAGATGCAAATGTGTATCTTTGTGAAATCTGATAGTTTGTGGAGATTGTAACTGAGTGACAACTGTGCACAGCTCAGACGGACTTCATCCCCATAATGTCATTGAACCGGACATTGTTATTTACCATGGCTGCTGATCTGCTTTCATGTGCTGTTTTGTTCACTGATATGTTAAGTGGACTGCTGCATTTGATGCCGGCTGGAGCGCACAACAGCATCCAGCAAGTTCTTATGCATATATGAGGGTCTGCTATTTTGGAATGATGAAGCCAGTGCAGCAGTGTGTATCACTGATGTGTTTAAAAGTGACAATGAGCAACTGAAGTTATCACAGAGCAGCTTAAATGGTATATTTTTTGCTTTGTTTACACCTGATTTAGATGCCTTGCTTTAACCTCCTCTAGTTTTTTTGTCCATTCGGGAGCAGTTCATCAACATCAAAACACCTTGTGTAGTTATGTGTTAGCAAACATTTGTCCATTTACACATGGACCACATACAGAGCAACATTAGTATTTATTTAGAGCTATGTCTGCTTCTGCTCTACCTTTAGCTCTGATTTGGTCTCCGCCAACTCTTGAGGAGTTTCACTGCTAAATGTTCCACTGTCTGCTGCTCAGTGCTGGGCAGGTGGAGATGAGGTTGATGAAAGCTGTGAATGAACCAAAGTAGTAAAGTTGTGGGCTGAAAGATGCTGAAAGACGCTACAAATCTTTTAGGGACGCTTAAAATCTTTATCAAATCCTCAAAACAAATAATGAAATGTCCCAGACTGCTCTCCTTATGTCACTGAACAGTCTCTGACATTTAAAACAAAAATGTTTTATTGTACAATGCAATAAAGCAAATTAGATGGAAACTTTATCTCATTATTAGATTTTGTCTTTGAAGCAGGCAGTTATAGTTTGAAGCTCCCTTATACTGTGTTTCAAGAAGCCTATAACTCTAAAACAAACACATGGTGAAGGCAGATGTCTCTAATTAATAAATTCACTGCTTGCCTCTCTTCTCTTTAAGGGAACTCTCATCACAGTTTTATTCAGTGTCATTCGCTTATGAGAGGTAACTGTCTCATCCAAAGATGTGTTTGTTAAAAAGAAAGTACCCTGTAATACAGACTAAGCAGTTTATTTTCATAAAACCAGATGCAATTTAAATGAGTTGATTTGTGAACAGAAATGTTAGCAGCCATGAAAAACAGCCAAGAGAAAGTTGAATAGCCACAACTGTTAAATAATTTGAAATACATGGGCAATGAAGGAATAAAAACTCCAACTCAAAGAGAACAAGGTTGTGAGAAGGTTTTAAAATACACTGATGTCAGCAGAGGTAAAACAGGGCAATGGCTGTGCTTGATTACAGCTGACATGATTAGTCAATCAACAGAAAATTGTCAGTAATTGAACTGATTAATTGCTTACATAATTTATTGTCATAAGTCCACTTGCTAAATGTGAGAATTCCCTGGTTTTCTCAGTTTTATACCATTGTTTATTGAATACTTTTTTAGTGTTTGCTAGACAAAAACAAGTAATTCAAAGCTCAGGAAAGTAAGTTTTCATTTTATTGAACAAGTGATCAAAGGTCCACTCATCCATACTAAACATAAAAGATTATTCATTTGATTTACATACTGTATTTCAATATGCTGTGCTTTTTTATTACTTTTTTGCTGTAAGTTATACTTGTTTGTATTGGTGCACTGCTCTGTGGTAAGCTGGCTGTTCACAGGCGGAAAGAACAAAATGGAAAACAGGTTTAACCTTCAACATCATGCCTTACTGACAACAACAAACTGAGCGCCAACTCTGCAATAGACCATCTATGCACTCACATTATGGAGAAAGTCACACAGCATCACTTGCTTCATCACTTGTGACCGCATTGCCTTGCAGTATATGAACAGATGTCCCCTAAAAATACAAGGATACACAAAATTAGCAGTTCATGCTGGGACACCTTCCTACACACCAAACCTCCCCAGTAGGTACAATATAGAGTGTGTTGTATCTGCCTGATGATACCGGAGGGTTGACAAAAAGGGCTGACCTTTGCACACTGAAAAAACAACATTTTGCCTGAAGCATCTGTGTTGGAAAACATTTCAGAGCTGTGGAAAACAGTGTTGGATGTGAGAAAGAAAATTTTGAAAAAAAAATGAGCTATGACTCAATTTTCAGAGGAAAATTCTTCTCCCTGTATAAGCTTAGAATATTTTGGCTTTGCCCAAGTGTTTTAACACTTGGTCTTTAGTATTGATGACTAACCTCAAATTATGTTCCCCTATATTAAATTAAAAAGTTATGAGAGATTCTGGTTCCAGATGGACATCAATCTGAAGTAGACATGAATACCAAATGAATCCGTTTATTTATAGGAAATGCTGATAAATGCAGTATATGTATAAAAGTACGAGTACCCCAACCAGGTATGTGTGACTGCTGAATCTGACATTTCAAAACAATAGATATTATATCGACCCAGGGCTGTAACAGCCTCCATTTTACCATAATTACACAAAACAAGACCAATTCAAAGTCCACTTTGAGCTTTTAGGGAGCTTTCAACCATATCACACAGTCTACATCAACAAATGGAGTTGGCATAATAGCTCAGTAGTGGTATGTTTTAGGACTTTTCATTTGTGTTATCCCAAAAAAAAAAACAAAAAAAAAAAACACTGAAATCTTCAGAAAAAGCGTGGGCCTCCATGTGCCACCGGAACAGCTGCTCTGCATCTTGGCATTGTACGAGTCTCTGGATTTTACACAATACGTTGTCTAACATGTTGGTCTAAAATCTCCCATAGGTGTAGAACTGCGTTGAGATCCGGTGACTATGAAGGCCATAGCATATGATTTACATCATTGTGATAGTTATCAAGCCATTCAGTGACCCCTCACATCCGGTGGATGGGGGCACTGTTATCCTGGAACAGACCGGGTTTTCCTTTAATTTGTCTTTAGGTAACCTTGAGTGGTGATCTGTTTGTCTAATCATGATTTTCAAGATGGCAATGCATTTCAGTGAAGTTTCTCAACATAGAACTTTGAAAGCCATTTCTTTATGAACCTTGCTTTGTACACAGGGCAAATTGTCATGTTGAAACAGGAATATGGCAAAACATCTGTCTAAAACATCATGCAGGAGCAATAAGACCTCCTGTTACTGGAACTAAGGGGATTAAGCCATGAAAACAGACCTAGACTCTTTGCAAACTCTGTATCTGCACTAAAATTATGAGTTTCTTTGACTGTTAGTGTGTCTGAGTCAGTGTTTACTGATTTTAGTACCAGAGCTCTAATGTCTGATTATTTAACTACTTGTTACTGATTCATGTCTTAACAAAAAACTGCATGAAAAGACTTACATACAGGGGACTCGGCATTACAACAGTAAACAATCACATAACCAAGCAAAAAAGAAATGCCTGAAACAAATACATCACACTTAAAGCTGTAAAAGAAAAGAGGGAACATTGCTTACAGGCAGGACTTACTGCTCCATCGGAGTTGTCTGGAGAGGAGTTCACGGTGCAGTGACCATGAAATATCAGATGTGTGTGCTTAGATGAAAGTCACATTTGTAAATAATAATAATAACAAAGGTGGTAAAAGAGCTTTGTGACAAAAAAAAAAATCAATTTTATCTGAAGATGAAACGAAGCCTAAATGATGTTAAACTTTTCCTTTGAGAAAGAAGAGTGGTGAAAATGAGACACAGTAACAAACAATGGGAGAAACAAAGATGCTGCTCACTTATAATACAATAGTAGGAAAATGTATCATACTGTTTACCATATAGTGTCTTCACTACACACTTGTAAAGAATCTGGTCATTCATAGCTTCATGCCCTAGTGGATCAGCCAGAGATGAACAGCAATGATGTTTCTGCTAATTCAGCAGTGCTTGCGTACAGCAACAGAGGTGGTTATTCATAATGTAATTAATTTTGTTAGACAAAAACAATTCAGCATCACTAATAATAACAGAGCACGGCCTAGTGTAATACTCCTATTAACCTTCAGCAGCAGCCTCGGTGTCTCATGGCTGGTCTCTGTCAGTGGAAGCTGGCTGGAGCTAC